TCGTGCCCTCCACACGCACAATCATCCGTACAAACAGAAAAAAATCCCGATTTTTTTGCGATTCTCGACGTTTCAAGATGCCCTGAGTATAAAAATATAAAAATATTGATCTTGGGGATCACTTTTTTACCGATCGTCATACTTTTCCTCTGTTGTATATAAAATAGAACACAATAGCTTAGTAGGCTAATGAAATTTTGAATAAAATTTCAACACATTTTTTTTAGTAGTAATTCAAACACAAATAATTATCGTATTTATTTTCAGGCACTTGGCAATTCTTATCATCAAGTTTTTATTCAGTTCAAAGAGGGGATCAAAATCGTGCCCTCCACACGCACAATCATCCGTACAAACAGAAAAAAATCCCGATTTTTTTGCGATTCTCGACGTTTCAAGATGCCCTGAGTATAAAAATATAAAAATATTGATCTTGGGGATCACTTTTTTACCGATCGTCATACTTTTCCTCTGTTGTATATAAAATAGAACACAATAGCTTAGTAGGCTAATGAAATTTTGAATAAAATTTCAACACATTTTTTTTAGTAGTAATTCAAACACAAATAATTATCGTATTTATTTTCAGGCACTTGGCAATTCTTATCATCAAGTTTTTATTCAGTTCAAAGAGGGGATCAAAATCGTGCCCTCCACACGCACAATCATCCGTACAAACAGAAAAAAATCCCGATTTTTTTGCGATTCTCGACGTTTCAAGATGCCCTGAGTATAAAAATATAAAAATATTGATCTTGGGGATCACTTTTTTACCGATCGTCATACTTTTCCTCTGTTGTATATAAAATAGAACACAATAGCTTAGTAGGCTAATGAAATTTTGAATAAAATTTCAACACATTTTTTTTAGTAGTAATTCAAACACAAATAATTATCGTATTTATTTTCAGGCACTTGGCAATTCTTATCATCAAGTTTTTATTCAGTTCAAAGAGGAGATCAAAATCGTGCCCTCCACACGCACAATCATCCGTACAAACAGAAAAAAATCCCGATTTTTTTGCGATTCTCGACGTTTCAAGATGCCCTGAGTATAAAAATATAAAAATATTGATCTTGGGGATCACTTTTTTACCGATCGTCATACTTTTCCTCTGTTGTATATAAAATAGAACACAATAGCTTAGTAGGCTAATGAAATTTTGAATAAAATTTCAACACATTTTTTTTAGTAGTAATTCAAACACAAATAATTATCGTATTTATTTTCAGGCACTTGGCAATTCTTATCATCAAGTTTTTATTCAGTTCAAAGAGGAGATCAAAATCGTGCCCTCCACACGCACAATCATCCGTACAAACAGAAAAAAATCCCGATTTTTTTGCGATTCTCGACGTTTCAAGATGCCCTGAGTATAAAAATATAAAAATATTAATCTTGGGGATCACTTTTTTACCGATCGTCATACTTTTCCTCTGTTGTATATAAAATAGAACATAATAGCTTAGTAGGCTAATGAAATTTTGAATAAAATTTTTTTATCATACATTTTTTTTATCAAAACTTTTCTCGTATTTGGTAAGATAACTCTAAATAAGGGATTTGCCACACCCCAAACTTGTTGACTCTTTGTACGAGCAAACAGTTAATGGAACCATAATGGCTTTGCCCTTCGCCATTATGGTTCCATGTGATCCTTCACGAGGTATCTCGCGAAAGGTCACATGGCAAAGCGGCATTAATATCTGGTAAATTAATACCATTAATACAACTAGATAAGCAAACCAATAACTTTGCCCGTTTCATTTAAAAAGGACCACGTCATTGGCACTCTTACCAGTTGTTTTAAAGCGACTTTTCCAGGCAACGCGCCCAAAATAATCTAAGCAACGGTGACAATGAATAATTATGACGTCGAATGTAGCTTTGTTTGTTTTAACCGTCAATTCTTTTAATTGACATAATTAATCATTCACATAATTAGACACTACGATTTTTCCGGTGTAACAACAAGCAATTCACATTTCACTTGCGATTTCTGTGACAAAAATTAATTATTTTTGATTTTATTGTGAAATACTTCAAAAGACGGACATTTTACAAACAGTTTAAAAATCGGGATAGTTTATTAAAGTTTGGGACCGTTCTGCCTAATTTTGAACGTTTTGTTCATTTTAGATTAAATCGTCTTTCAAATATAAATTTATTTCACATGCCTTTTAATATCTTGTTTATCACCTCATACAAAGATTACTATGTAAATCGTTTTCACTCATTGTAATCGTAGAAAGGAATTTAAATAAAGCTTATGTAAAACACTGACGTCGATAGTTTCAAAGCTTCTTCAAAGCTGTTTTCCTTAAAATTACGCTTATTTCTGGTATCATACAGTTCCGCTTTCAATGATCCATTGTAATTTCAAACATTCAAATATTGGAAAATTATTTCTGACGTGTTTTAATATTTGGTAGCTAATAGATTTATTGATCAAATAAATCGATAAAACCCAAGACTAGCGTATAATATTATCTAAGATCACAGCCTGAAATAGAAGCTTTTAACTACGTATTTGTATGTGGTTAACAGTTCTATCATAATAGTCATTAATTCAGTATGTAATAATATATCTGTTCATTATTACTTGTGTCCATGGGTTCAACATAGTGTTCAACATTCGATTTATTGGGCATACATTGAGCATCTGAACAATATCTATGAACGTATTAATGTAATATTATACTTTCACATATTGTTCGTGACATGTCTTTGTTGCTATCAATTGCCCTTTATTGATATGAATTTAACAAACAAGTTTGTAATTTTGATTTTTTCAATTTTGAATGAGGTTGCTTGCATTGTAATCAGTTTTCTCCACTCTTCATTTACAGTAACGGTAAGATTTTAAATAATAGACTATTATATAATATGTAATTAAATACTGCACAATAATATCTTTTCTTGTTGTATTATTATGTATGTGAAACGTTACCCAATACAAACTGAACCAAATAAGGCCCACCAGTGACCAAGCGGTTCCGTTCCCTGAACACTGGGAATTCGGTCGTGGGTTCGCTCCTCGCCAGGACGGGCTGATCAGGTGGAGTTTTCCGGGTTTCCTCCACGTCTGTAATGACTGAATAGGAAAACCAGATACTCTAAAAAGACCCCCCAGAAGGCATCGTCCAAGTTTAATTTAACTGAACCAAATAAACTATGAGTAATTTTATGTGATTGAGTGAAATTTTTTGTTCAAATGAAAGACAAAGCTATATGTTTAATTTATCGTGACTCTACTTCAATTTAAAATTTTAATTTCATTTTAAAATCATACAATTTGAAAAGACATTATGAACTAAAACACGACCATTTAAAAAATATACTAGCGACGAACGAAAAATGAAATTACAAATACTTAAAACAAGTCTGACTGCAAAACAAAACGTATTTCATAAACAGACAGTTCAATCAAACGCCATCGTTAATGCCAGCATGAGAATATCACAAATTATTGAGAAAAAATTGAAACCGTTTTCGGATGATGAATACACCAAATAATGCATTATCGCTTCAGCCGAAGAAATTGTTTTAGAGGAAGTCAAGATTTTCAGTCAAATCAGCCTGACATCAAACTGTAGCGCGAAGAACTGATAACGTTTCAAATGAAATTTGTTCAACTCTGAACATGGTTTCTAAGTTTCTGTATTTCTCACTGGCTTTGGATGAAACAACAGATATTAAGAATATGGCTGAACTTGCTATTTTTATTCGAGGTGTGGATAGTGATATGAATGAGACGAAAGAATTTCTCGATGTTATGAGTATAAAAGACACAATTACCGGAAAAAATATATATGAAACTGTCATTAAATCTTGCATGGCCATGGATTGAAATTAGCAAATGTAATTGGGATCACTACAGATGACGCTGCTTCAATGATCGGAAAAAATATTGAAGCTGTTAAATTAATTTTTAAGCATGGAAAAATTTTAATGTCTTTGGAGCTTTTCATTTGTCATTGTTTTTTGCACCATGAAAATTTGTGCGCGCAAGTATTTAATATGAACGAGTCAGTTTCAAGATTATCTTCAAGAATTGGAATCTATCTATCTATCTATCTTCTTTGATGGTGTTTATATGGAGATTTCAGCTCACTGTAGGCTCTTTCTCCGAGTAGACTTGTATGTGTATGATCGCTAGGCGACCGATTAGCCGGCTGTATCGAACAGCCATACGTACGCGCGGGAAATAAATGCCTTCCGGGAGGACTTTTATGGGGAACTGGCCTCCTATTCAGTCGTTATAGGCAAGGAGAAAACCCGGAAAACTCCAAGCAGCCAGCCTGTCCGACCGTGGCGCGAACCCACGACGAACCTCCCAGTCTTTAGGGTCTGGTCACCACTACGATGAGCGGCAACGGAGACCACTCGCCCACTGGTGGGGGCTAATTGGAATCTAAGTACAGTGATTTGCTTTTATACGCGAAAATTCGGTGGTTAAGTCGTGGAAAATGACTAAAGAAATTTCAGAATTTGAGAGAAGAAATTCAAATTTTTATAAATGAAAATGACTAGAATGTTCCTGAATTATATGATCTAGAGTGGATATTGAATTTATGTTTCCTTACAAATATCACAATGAAATTAAACGAACTTAATAAGCAGTTTCAAGGTGAAAACAAATTGATCACAGACTGTGATCAATTTGTTTTCACCTTGAAACTGCTTATTACAAATTTGTATATAGATTTAATTAATAGATCTCCAGTCATTTTTGTAATTTTCTGAATTGAAATATATGTTTGAAGCCAATGACAGTTTTATACAAAATACGTCTGTAATGATAAATTCCCTAATCTAAAAAACTGGCGATGAGCATTACAGCTGCAATGGGAATCACCTAACTTTGTGAATCTTTTTTCTCAAAATTGAAGATTGTTAAATGTAAAAGTCGTAATAGATTGACCAATGAAAACTTAAAAAACCAACTGTTGTACATCATCAAAAATACCAGTTCATATTAAAAAATTAAGTGAAAAAATTGAAAAGCAAGTTTTACATTAAAATACATATACAATTGTACAGTATTTTGCATGTTTTGTTATAAATAAATATGTGCGGCCCACAGTGTATTTTTATTTTTGGTTTTTGCCCAGTAAATATTAAATATTTTCGGTTGGACAACATTGGTGTAAAGTGTCATAAATTTTTACTTGGCGCAATTTTTTGCATCGATGTTTTTGTTTGGATAAGTCGTTTTTTGTTTAATAATTGAAGGCCTCCCTGAAATAAGGTGCCAACCCTCATTGTTTCGAAATTTCATGTTTTTGAACACAAAAAGTGCTAAGCCTCAAACCTTTGTTTGGGCATTGCGATTTTTTGAATGTATCTCCATATTGGGCTGAAACGTACGATGCACTTGCGAAACCTGTTGCGAAAGTGTTCTCATAGATAGTGCAAACCCTCAGCCACGATGGCCGCCTCAAGTAATATCATTCGACATAGTGGAACACAAATTCGTCTTTTTCTTTGACAATAACGAGAGTAATATTAGTGACGACGATAGCTTAGCTTATTCTGATTGGGCCGAAGATAAGTCAGATAGCAGCACGATGAGGTAAGAATGTGCAGTTTTAATATTACCAGGGCCGCCGTAAGCGGGCGTGCAAGGCGTGCAGGGGGCGGCAAAGAGCCTTTCTGGCAAGCTCAGCATAGGTAATCGTAGTTAAACAGGGGGCGGCATAATCGGTATTGCACACGGGCGTTCAAACAGCTAGCGGCGCCCCTGAATATTACCCTGTTATCTTATTGGTTAGCATGTTGTTTGTCACTAAATTTCTTCCTACTTCGGTGCATATCTAATTCAGTGGTTCTCAACCTTTCTGAGGCCGCGAAACACCATTCATGTACTCAGTGCCGGCCCGAGGCAAGTTTTAGGATGGAGCGAGATCCTACTATGGCGCCCCCTTGGTGCCCCTAATTTATACCCTTTAATTTTCTTTAACACAGAGGCGCCCCCAAAACGTTGCGCCTGGAGCGGCTGCTCCGTTCGCCCTATGATAGGGCCGGCTCTGCATATACTTTTGATTACACGAAGCACTAGCATCAATACATTCAAAATTGATAAGCAATTCCATGTTACTATTCTCAGAAAACGATGAAGCAATAAACTAATAAACTTTAATATATTGAATAAAATAGAAACATGAAATTTTCTCCGAATAGCAATGGGAATAAATATGAAAAAAAAAAACTTTAAAAATCTTTTCTTTCGTGGAATACTCAGGTAGGTTTACGGAACACTGGATAAGAAAATTTTCTTAACTGATCAATTTTTCAATTTTGTTGTATTCGAAGTTGATTGTTAAAACTTCCGTAATTTTATTCACACCAAAATTCATAATGTTGCATTGAATATACAAGAGAAATGTTAAGTCTTTATGAACTATGAAGCTAAATTATATTTGGACTAGCACTTTCTTGAAATTTTTACGAAAATTATTCCATTTTACAGTTTTCTGTAAATGAGGCCAGAAGTCATGAAAATGCCCCAAAAGCAGAATCCAACAAAGTAAAGAAAACAAAACGTAGAGAATTGGAAAAGCGTGAAAGCCAAAAGGAGAAGAAATGCTGGAAGGACATATTCAACATTCACTAAAAAGACTTATCCTGCAAAGACTATCAGAAAGTTATGCAATTGGCCACGAAAATGCTGGTCTTTTATAGGAGAACAAGATGAGGAAATATTTCACAAGTTCTGGTTTAGGGGAGACTAATCACCAGAAGCAAATTTACCTAACGAAATACATAAAACTTAAGCAGAAGCGATGGTGACTATTTCTTCATGTGTTCGTAATTTGTCTGCACTGACTTATTACTAAAATATTTTTTGTTAATCATATTTTTGCAGTTATGTTTAAGAAAGGCAATCCCGCCGTGCATTTTCTGAGACACTGAATGGAAGAAATGTCCAAATTTGCAAGGTGATGTTTTTGTCCCTACATTAATTGCAAACAGTTGCAACAGAAGTGAAAATTTACAAATACAACTGAAAGATGGACATATTTCTCCCAAAAGTGTTAAAAGAGGCTAGTGTTTCGAAGATTATATTAACAGTAATGTGGAATCTCGTTTCTTTGATGCATTACCCTAACGAAAAACATAACATGCATATTATTTCTATTCAGTACTCCCGGCAGGCTGAAGTACTAAATGTTGACGTTGATGAAGAAATTGACAATGTCATTTGTTAAAAAATAATAAGTTTTATTTACTTTTGATATCAAAAACTAGTGATTCTTATTCACGAGTTTGTTCAAAATTCGTATTGTAAATGTCAGTCTGTTCGTTTCACTGTTACTATTTTCTTAATTACTTCTTTCTGAAATCGTTTCATGAAATTATTGACAAATAAGATATTTTCCTAGTTTTAGAAATGTGATAATCGAAATACCATTAGGGGAAAAATTATATTAGGTAATTTAATTGCTATTCTTATGTACACTCCATTAAAAATAATAAATAGTTTTGAATAATATCACGTGCAGTTATGAAATAATCACAATGCCTTACAATCACTGACCTGAGGGCTATCATAACACAAGGCCAATTCCAATAGTACTCTTTACAGTTATATAGTACTATCACACAATCATCTGGTAGTGTGTTTCACATTCTTGTTATTACCGAAGACAGTGATAGTTTGTAGCGTTAGATTTTCGGTTACTAGTAGCCAAAAAGTGTGCTAATAACACGGAATGGAAAACAAAATCATAAACATGCATTTCCGATTTTAAGATTAAACAAACTTACGAATCGAATTATCTCAAAATATAGAAAGAGTTAGCACCTTCTTCAAAGGAGTCCTTCAATTGTATTACATCAAGACATAAGACTTCGACCTATCGACAGCGGCGGGGCAAGACCTAAATTTGACGTGGACAAGGTACATTTCGCGAGGCCCTCTGGTGGCGCAAGAAGACGGATTTTATAAAATAAAAAACAGTTGAAACTGTCAAATTTTTATTCCTAAAAATGCAAACTATATTCTTTAACTAATATTTAAAAAAATTAAAGAAAGAAATTTTCTGCTTTTAGCCTTACTGAACTCCTTAATAATTGTATTGTAATTCAGCTTAGATGCTATATATCAGGGGTGGCCAACAGTTTTTGCCCCCGGCCGAATTGGAAAGAAAACTTTTTTCACGGGTCGAACCAGAGGCTGCCCTAGGAAGATTTTGAGGTGGTGCGAGATCTCATTGTGGTATCACCCTGTAGAGACTAAATTGCACATAGAGATTACAGATACATTTTTCACATTATCATGCTTTATAACGTTCTACGCCGTACTTAAGAGATTTGTAATGGAGGGTTAACTCTAACCGGACAGCGAGTTGTTGATCTTGTTTTTTTAGGCGTTATTCTTACTTGAGTAGCTAATATTGAATGATTAATCGCGGGCCACATAAATCCATTACACGGGCCACATCTGGCCCGCAGGCTGTATGTTGGCCATGCCTGCTATATATGCTTCAATAGATAAAACTGCGAAAGCTAAAAGTCTTTTCTGACCCACTGTATTTCTTAAATAATTATTTTTATTAGTTTTAATATTGAAAAGATCCTTTCAGCGTAGGCAGTACTTACCATTATTGTTAACAAAATTCGAACGTCAATGTAAATATTTGGGTAAATTTCTTTCAAGTTATTTCTGTTATGTATTGGAGCAGCTGTTTCACATCTTTAATGAAGTTGGGTAAATTTGGGATCGTTTGTAATTCTCCATATAATTCGTACGGTTGTAAGTCACTGCTCTCACTCACTCGCAAGACTGAGTGTAAATCTTGACAGTTTTTTAATATTTGCTCTGTGACCTTTCCGTTAAACACAGTGGTATCAATCCTGACAGGGCACCAAGGAGGTGCCCTGTCAGGATTGATACCACTGTGTTTAACGGAACACGGAAGCCGAGACGGCGATGACGTCACACCGTCGCGCGAGTGGTCCCATACGTGGACAGACGGATTCTTAATGTTAGATCGAGAGACAACATGTGGAAGTGACTCAGATACACTTAACAATTAACAAGGGTTTATCTATTCTAATACAGTAGAGCGTCGTTTATCCGAAAGCTGGTTATCCGAAACGTCCGTTATCCGAAAGCATTCGTCGGCAAATTTAAATTTTCGCTAGTGCTGTGGCGCTGCAATCTTCTGCTATTTCTCGGGCTACTCAAATATTTTACGTTTTTTATACTAAATTAACATCTGAAGTATAATTTTTTATTGTTTTTATATTTTTCAATATATTTATTTTGTTCGTACAAAATAAAAAAATAATTTTTAACGATACAATAGTCTTCGTTAGGCTTAACATCGACGAAAATTCAACGCGAAGCGACACGCAACGGAGAGAAATTTCAACATGGGATAAATTAATATATTTTTTCGTATATGATTCGTTATCCGAAAAATAAGTTATCCGAACCACCCCAGTCCCGAATTGATTCGGATAAACGACGCTCTACTGTATTATAAAGAGGTAATGTTTGTATGTATGTTAGTTTGTATGCAGCAGGTAATCTCCGAAACTACTCATCCGATTTCAAAAATTCTTTCACCAATATTTAGAATGGAACTTCAGGGTGGACATAGGCTGTATATTATTCCGTTAAACATGGGAGATGGACAGTTCTTTACGGTAAGCCTTACCATAAAGAACTCTGCTTCTATTTATACTATTTTAGATGCGGTTTTTTGCGTTTTTGATTGCGTTTTAATAGAGTACGTCAACAATGTACACAAAGAAGGGATTTTTCGATATTCCCTCCGCGGGGGAGAGGGACAGGATTAAGGCTTACTGTGAAAAACTTGGCTTCTATTATACTATTTTAGATGCGGGTTTTTGCGTTTTTGATTGCGTTTTAATAGGGTACGTCAAGAGAATGTACACTAAGAAAATATTTTTCGAAAAATTTTCCCCCACGGGGGAAGTGTTATACATTTATAATAGATACATTTTGAGCCACAACAAGGCGTGGCGGGGTCTGCTAATTTAAAAATAAATTGGATAAAGTATTGTCGCGGAGAGAGAGAGTTCACATACGATTCGCAGGGTGATAAATACCTTTGGTAATAGATATCCCAGTCGGGTCTTGTTGAATCGAAGAACAAGATCTTCTTATGGGTTTTTTCAGGATGTATCCAGGGGTGGAATATCTAGTCCAAAGGTCCTTTTTTAGTTATCCAGGCGATCGTGCACTAACACACACACACACACACACAAAAAAAAAAGGTTATCTTATGGGCGATTAATTGGGTGACGATTAAATGGACGATGATTAGATGGACGACGACTTCCTTCCTCTCCGAGGACTAAAACGGCGACTAACTCTTTTCGGCCGTCTCTGGTGATATTCACGGACGATTTCGGTGGTGCAGAGGTTAATAGTTCACGAGAAAGCGTCATGTTGCTTTCGAGAAAATGTAACGGGAGACATTCTCAGGTAGCTAAGAACAACAATTGTTGCGTAATTCGCGAAATGTTAATATTAAAGACTATTGGTCTGATATAGGAATTTCTGCTATCTCACAGCTCTTTTGGAATATTTTTTAACTTGCTTAGATCATAGAGAAAACCAAAATTTTCAAAATGTTGATTTAAAGACATAAATCCCGAATCATATTGCTTATTATAGAATCAATCGTGGTGTTAAAAAAATCTCTTTCATATCTGCTTTTGGGAGACTGTATAGGTTGATCGCTGCCTTCATAATCGAACATCCTTTTCTTTTCGGCTACTCTTTCGTTTTTAAAGTCTTTTGGCAGTCCATAACTGCTATTCTCAATAAATTGACGAGCGTCAGACAAGCATTTTTCGAATCCAGTTTGTCGATATTTTTTTGATCCAGTCACAAAATATACGTAAATGTTTAAGAGCATTGCTTAAATCCACCATGAGCAAATGCGGCTCTTGCTGAAAGTGTTAATTTCTGCTTTCAATTATTATTGTTACAATTTTATTTTCACAAAATTGTGAAAATATTTTTATTAAAAGTATTCAATATTTGTTTTATATTATATTTATATTATATGAAATCGCGGTACAGAATTAAAAAGTACAGAACTGCGGCTCCCATGCATTTTGCAAAACCTACATTTCGGCTCCCACTGAACTCTTGCTTGCCCACCCCTGGCTTAAAAGGACTTGTAAAGATTGCCATAATTTGCTTATGATATTAACACACAATAATATCTCATACCATACATGTAATGATATGATAAATTCTAAACTGAGCATTTCGTTTAAAGCCGAATCACAATCACAGTGTGTCTGATTGTTCCGTTTGATTTTTTAAGCTTTTCGATGCATTCAACATCAAATTGCAATAATACGGCCTTCACTGCCTCGATTCTGCTTTCTCACCTTGTGTCTGATAAAGGCTTCATAGTAAGCTTTAATTTGCCTTTGATTAATTCCCGGCATTTGCAGGAACTTCAAAATAGCAAATAAATTTTCAGAATAAAACCAAAAAAATGTTTTTGCTGCCACAGAAGAATTAGCTGCGTCTATCAACAGCAGATTCCAGCTATGACAACCGCAAAGTGTAAAAAATGCCCTGGGATTAATATTTAATATTCGAGTTCTAACTCCACTATTTACGGGATACTTTACTGCGATACTTTGATTGGCTTTCTAGCCTTTGAGAATCGTGAAAGTAACGTAAACAAACACAATGGGAAATCCCCAGCTCTGGCTGGCAAGGATTCCCCGCGATAGCAACCCAACGCCAGCAAATGTTGCTAGACTAAATAAAAACAAATTTGGTATGTCAATATATTTATCGTTTTATGATGAGTAAAATTTTTTCGTTGATGCATAAACCTTCGAAGCGCGAGGCCCCTCGGACAGTGAGGCCGTAGGCGGTGGCCCAAGTCGCCCACGCCTTACGCCGCCTCTGCCTATCGACCCAGAAGTTTTGCCAGCACCTCACTAATAACGAGAAAGGCCTAAGTTTGACATTTGAGCTTTCTAGACCCGGTAGTTTCTCTGTGAGCGTCTGCATTGCTGGATAAGAAAAAGAAAAAATATAGCTTTTTTGGTGATTTTTGCACTCTGACTTATATTTCGGCAATTGCTTTATAGAAAATCTTGCACTACTAAAGAAACTGAAAATTGACAACCTGATTCCTGTGTATGTATATATATATTAAATTAATAAATTTTAAATTTTTATTTAAACACGAATTCTTGGATGCCATTTATATTACGTGACGGTCAATTAACATGGTTTTTGAGTATTGTATTACCAGTCGACCCCTCTATAAGATCATTGATTTTTCCGTTTTATCTGAATTACATGTTGTACGAGTCACTTAGATTTTACAAATACGTGTGCCGGGCTGTGAACGGCTCACATATTTGTAAAATCTAAGTGACTCGTACAACATGTAATTCAGATAAAACGGAAAAATCAATGATCTTATAGGGGGAACGACTGTATAACCCTGTGCTACCAACCTTGTAAATAATATGTCTGTATATATACAAATTTGTTCTGGAAACACATGTACTAATTATCTGTTGTTATCCGCCCAGTTATGGTGTGTGTAGACATGTACGTAGACAGTTATGGTGGTGGACATGTACACTTCTACACACTGAATAAATTTGTGGTCGTAGTCTCTCTCTCTGTAATCTGTGGCCGACTCTTGAAGAGTAGGTTGTTCGACAACCTGGGCAAATATGGGTTCAAAATTTTGTTCGTGAACCAAATTGTTCGAAAACAGAGGTTTGACTGTATTATTTTCTTAATTACTTCTTTGTTATTTTCTTCTATTTCTGAAATCGTTTCATGAAATTATTGACAAATAAGATATTTTCCTAGT